CAACATTTTTGGCCTCCTGAAATCCCGCCCTCTTTGAAAAAATGGCCGTGCATAGCCTTTAGGAGGTTTCCAGAGTGCTCCTGGGGGTGGGAGTGGAGGCAAAAATTAGCAAAAAACGAGCCCATTTTTCACTCATTTCTACCCTCCCCAGCCCCCAGGAGCAGTCTGGAAGCCTCCTAAAGGCTATGCACGGCCATTTTTTCAAAGAGGGCGGGATTTCAGGAGGCCAAAAATGTTGCATTCAGTGTATAAGACGCACCCAGATTTTCACCCTCTTTTTTGAGGGAAAAAGGTGCTTCTTATACTCTGAAAAATACGGTAGATGGGAAAGATGCTTTGAATTAGGGCTTCAGCTCTGAGCTGCTCTGAACTTGAAGTGATGCAATACAGGTGGATTTTAGAAATTTAGGGTTCACAAGTGTTATTTCAACTATTTTCTCTTCTGCTGTTTTCGATCGGCATCAACATCTTGAGCATGACATATTCTGCAGCTTCCCAAGACTTTTCTCCAAATGGACTACTTCTTCTCTTTTGCCTAGGCCCAAGATGGTTTTTATGCCTAATCATAATGATGATAACTATGATCATTACAGAATAAGCCTATGTGTGATGCTTGCTTTAGGGTGGGAAAAGCTGAACACATCTGGATCATCTGTGGCAAAGAGCTAAAGTAAAGACATATTTTCCAAATAGCGTCTATACACCCCAAAATGCTGTATCTGTAGAGATTGTCAGTCATCCAGGTCCTGGTTGTCCCAATTCTGCTTTTTCTGGACACAACTGGACTTTCTGTTTTTTCTTTTGAAAATGTTTCGCTTCTCATCCAAGAAGCTTCTTCAACTCTGACAGGATAGTGGGGAATGGAAAGATTTAAGGATCTGGGAATATGCAAGGAATATAAATCCTTCCATTCTCCACTTATCCTGTCAGAGCTGAAGAAGCTTCTTGGATGAGAAGTGAAAAGTCTTCAAAAGGAAAAGAAAAAAAAAAAGCAAGAAAGTCCAATTGCCTCCTGAAAAAGCACTTTGGGACAAAGGTAAGTGTGTGTGTGTGAGTGTGTGTGTGTGAGTGTGTAGAAAGAGAAAGAGAGATGTGGAAGAGGCTTTTAAGCCAAGCAGAAGCCAAAGATATTTCTATTTATTGTGATAATTTCAAAAGGTACCACAATTGGAGAAGTACAAATCTTAGCAGGACAGTGCATGCTTCGCAAGCATAAAATTCTGGATTCTATTCCTGGAATTGACCCAATTATTGGCAAAATGGAAAAATGCTCCTTGCTTTCTAGCCAACAATAAGCAATTATCTGCCTTAAGAGACAGATAATTGGTCCTGGTACAAGGCAGATTCCCATGTTATCACAACCTCTTATCCTCTTACCACAACCTTGGAACAGTGCTTGTAAAACCAGCTTAGGAGAGACTCTGTATCTTTAAAGTGCCCTTGGGTTGCTATACGTACCTGATCACAGATCAGCTCCCATTTCTTCTCATTGTCATATTGTCGGAGTAGCCTTGCTTTGTCAGGAGGCAAGTTCATGGCATTCTGTGAATAAAGAGAAAGCAAATCTGGGTGAGCACAAGGTTCAGAGGCTGAAGGTTCAGAGAGGTTGCATATGAATAAGTATAAATAAGCAGAACAACATGGTTACAGTTATGTGATCCCCCCACCCTTCATGGTTAACAGAGTTTATCCAATGCTTTCCAAGAAAAAAATTGCAAAAGAGCAATGAAAGATTCCTTCCCCTCCCCACCCTCTAATCTAAGATATGGCTCATGTTGAACAATGTCAAGGCTGAGAGGTTTTTCACATAGGGTAAAACTAGAGAATGAAGTTGTGGGTAATTCAAGGAGAGTTCTTTTTTCTTCTCTCCTATCATATATTACTGCTACATAAAATGTCCAATAACTAATACATGCTTTTATCTACTTAGAAATGCAAGACTGAAACCCATGCGCAATTCATCGTTAAAGTAGCATAAAGTACGATTCTCCACCAATGTATACAACATTTAAAAGGAGAGCCACATAAATCTGTTGCAGTAAGAGAGGAAAAAAGCTTGCAGTATTGCAGAAGTAAACAGATTTACTGCGATATACATTTGTGGATGAGATTCTATTTTAGCCAAAATAAATTAATGCTTCAAATGGAACCCACCTAAATAGCTCTTATATAGTATCAAGGCTATCGAAGTTGAAAATTTAATGACAATACACAGCGATGTGTACATTTGCTTAAGATGCATACAAAGAACATTATAGGGCACATGGAAGAACAAATGTTGTTAAGGGGAACTGTATCCCACAGAGTTCCAAAGTAAAACTGCCATCTGAGAAGGACAAACCTTGTTCTTTATTAGAAATCAAAAACCTATCATAGCAAAGAAAAGAGAAACAATACAGAAAAATGAGACTTTACGTAACATATGTTGGAATCTGCACATACCAGAGATGGTATTCAGCAGGTTCTGACCAGTTCTGGAGAACCGGTAGTGGAAATTTTGAGTAGTTTGGAGAACCGGTAAATGCCCCCTCTGACTGGCCCACCACTGGCACATACACTTCCCCAAAGGAATTTCATAAAAATTTCAGTAGCACATATAAAGTCAGAAAGACAGTTAGTCAATACAGACATTTCCTTTATATATAGTTACCCCTGCATTTAATTTACTGGGAGAGATGAGCCTTGGAGACTACAGCCAGATATCATTATATAAAATTTTGCATAGTTCACTACAAAAGATAGAAAAGATTCTACCTGCTTTTTTACTGTTACAATGGTCTGCATCAACCTGGGGCTCTAAAAATAATTGCCAGAATTTGTAATAAAATATCCATGAATAAAATAGGATGGCTGATTAGGAAAGGAAACACAAGTCCTCTCTTGTCTGTCTGTCAATCTAATTTAATCTAAGAATTTCTACAAGGCCCTCCAGATTCTAAAGAATCTTCTGTTTAAATACATTTTTCCTGGGAAGACAAAGCAGAAAAGGGCTGTTCTATTTTTTTTTTTCAAATCTGCTAATGAATTCCGTAAAACTTTTAATTGATTCCTGCTATGTTTTTATACTGAACCAACAAATTAAGTCATAGATCTGGAACCTGTTTCTTCAAGGATGAAACCTGATGATTTCCAGATGTTTTACATACATGTGACTATAATAGTCCCTGACTATTAGCCAAATACAGAAAATGTGTAGTCCAAATTATATTAAGGGTAACAAGTTCACTATTCCTAATTTAAATATGTGATATGCACTATATACAGCACTGCACAGAATTAAGTCCTTTACATTTCAGGACTTCACTAAATGTACACTTTTTTTTTCTTCTTGTACAGCTCAGGCTACTGTTGTTAAAAGTACATACAAATCTAGCCAGGTAAAATTAGGACAATTTTTTCCTTCCGAAGAGAGGTCATACATACATACATACATACATACATACATACATACATACATACATGCACGCACACACACACACACACACACACATATACATACATACATACATACATACATACATACATACATACATACGATAAGCAGACCCTAAAATCTTT